TTTTTAAAAAATTATTGATTCATTTATTTTTGGCCGTACGAAATGGCATGTGGGATCTTAGTTCCCTGACCAGGGATCAAACCAGCACTCCCTGCACTGAAAGCACAGAGTTTTAAGCACTGGACCACCAGGGAAGTCCTTGCTTCTTTCTTCTAAAGTTAGCTAGTTGTCTACTTTTTTCTTAAAAAAATAGATTTCGATTCATTAATTAAATCTACGTTTTTCTGTTCTCTATCTTGTCACTTTCTGCATTTATCTTTATTTTATGGTTTTTTCCTTGCCTTTATAGAGTTTCTAATTAATTTTTCACTTTTCATTTTTGTCTTTTATTATTATTTGTTTAAGCCTGTGGATTATCCTCTGATGGTGGCTTTATATAAATCCCCATAGATTCTGATATGCAGACGTTTTGTTGCAACTGTATTTTAGGAATCCTGTAATTTCCATTTCCGTATTCCATTTCAACCAAGAGTTAGTAGAAGATTTAAAATTTTAAAGAGCAAGAGCTTTTTTATGGTTTGAATTTGTTGTTAATTTCTAGCATGGATGCACTGTGACCAGAGGATGTTGTTTTAATATTTCTACTTAATAGAACTTACTGTTTTTATAAATGTTCTATGTGTACTTCAAAAGAGGGTATATTCTGTTATCAGGGTGTAAACTTCAGCATAAAGCCATAAGATCTACTTTATCGGTTATGCTCTTTAGGTCTTCCAGATAATGGTTGATATATTTTGTTCACCCCATTTGTCTTGTACCGAATGTAGCATATTAAAATCTTCTGTTATTCTATTTCACTAGACCATATAATGTCCATACACTATTCTTTGGTCCTTATCCCATCATTGTTTTAATCTTAGATTTATAGTTAAATGTATTAAAAGTTCATTATCAGACATTTTGCCCAAGTCTGCCTAGTTTTCTCCTAGTTGAATGAAAATCATTCTCCAGTCAACGCAGTCAATAGAGCTTTCTGTAATGAAGGTGATGTTCTTTTTTTTTTTTTCACGTAAACTGCACGTTTATTAGCACTGGTGCTGCGACACAGCGCTTCCAGTGAACATGCGGAGCTGCATGGAGGTGACCGGACAGGTGAGGTGCACACTCGGGAACCGCGGGGCCTTACTTCTTCCACTCATTCTTGTCGTAGTCCCACTTGGCCGAGAAGCCCTGGATGGGGGCCACCTTCATGTCCAGCATCCTCTTGGTCTGCTTGGCCACCCACTCCTCTTCAAAGGTGGGCGGGATGGGGCCGTACACATAGTGCTTCTCCCAGATGAGGAGGAGCGCAGTGAAACCGATGAAGAACATGGCTGCGCCCACCACTGTCTTCCACTCGTTTTGCTCCTGTTCATCTCAGCGAAGCTCTCCTTGAACTTAAGGCGGTACAGTTCAACTTTCTCATCAATGGAGAGGCTGCTCCAGGAAGCCTTCTCCTTTTCCTTCAAGGCCTTCTGGCTGGCAGACAGGTTCTTGACGTGGGCCACATCGGGCAAGGGATAGTCACGCCGGTCTACATAACCCGGGAGAGCAAAATCTTCACTCTTTACAACACTTCCATGGGCCCAGACACACACCGAGGTGGAAATTGCACGCCTGCCAATCAGGCTAAATACTCTGGTCGCCAACATTCTGCCTCCAATGACCAGCTGCTGCCCACCGTGCCCGCCGCGACCGCCCTCTAAGGCTCAGCTGCCCGCGACCGCGAAGGTGATGTTCTATACCTGCACTGCCCAATGTGGCGACCATAAGCCACATATGGATACTGAGTGCTTGAAACATGGCTAATGTGACAGAGGAACTGAAATTTACATTTTATTTAACTTTCACTTATTTAAATTTAAACTGCCACATGTGGCTACTAGCAGCTACTAAATTAAACAGAGCAATACTCATGGATTCATCTGGAGGGAGTCATGTGTGCAGTTTTCAAAGAGTACTGTATGTTTAAACTGCTTTTCCACAACCTGGATACCTGAAAAACAATTTGGCTAGAATTTAAAATCTTTGGTTTGCACTAAAAATGCAGTTACACTGATGCTTTTCTTTTTTATGTTGCTGACGTCTAGTGCCAGCCTAATTTTCTTGCCCTTATGAGTAATCTGGTCTTTTTCCCTAGAGTTGTGAGAATTTATTTTTATTTTTAAAATCCAGTAATTTTACTAGTCTTTTTCAGAGTTGACCATTCCAAGTCAGTTTTACAATACAAAAATGCACCTTTCAAAATCTAGATTCAGGTCTTCCATTTTCAAAAAGTCATCTTTCAAATTAATTTTAAAACTATAGTTTTATATATAAGATCTGTATCATTGTTTTATTTTCCTTTTTCAGGAACTTCAATTACAATCATATTGAATCTTCTCTGCCCGTCTTCCATTTCAATCACTTTTTCTCTCTTTATTTCTTTATCTCATTTTCATTCTCTCGCTGTGTCTCTTTTCCTTTTTCCTTTCTTAAATAGTCTTTATTAAATACTCAACACATTGTAATTCAGGATTCATTTCTTTCCTAAGTTTAATCAATTTAATTTTATTTCTTTTGGGAGGTGAGGAAGCTATTTCCGTTAATATTTTTAATTAATTTTTATTGGTGTTTAAAACTAATTAAAACTAATTAGTTTAATTTTATTAGTTTTTAAATTTTTATCCATTTTTTGGTTTGAGGCTAATTCAGTTAGGAATATTGTGCTGCAGTTTCTTTCTGCTTTATAATTAGTAGTGGGAAAAGAATAACCAAGAGCCAAAAGGTATTGATTCTCATTTTCTGTTTTCTTATTACAGTAACTGCATAGATGCAGACTGACTTTGGTGGGGTCTATTTTATGGAAAGAGTAAAGGTTGGGGTGACTTAAAAGATTCCTAGTTTGAGACTGCCCCCTTCTGAATAAAGAAGGTTACATTCCCTTTTCATATATATTTGTTTGTTTTTGCGGGGGGGGGCGGGAGGGCCAAGCAGGGAGAAGGGTCTAATGTATTTTAGTTGTTTTGTTTCAGTAGGATCTTAATTTCTGCCTCTAACTTCATTCTTTTCCAACACATCTCCAAAGGCTATCTTCCCTCTTTCTAGTTATTTCTTTCCTAGAAGCAATACCTTTTCAAAACTGCCACGTTAGGCCTCGCATACTTTCAAGTCCCCTACTGCATACTTTAAAGTACTGTGTACTTTAGCCACTACTATGATTTACCAGGTCTTAGAATGTTTTCAGAAATTTTGAATTTATCGTGAAGCTTTCCCTTTCTCTTGGTGTTTTGTCAGATTAAGTCCTCAACTCCTCTCTCCTCTTTTCCATATAGTTTTTCAAATCTCCCAAAGTCTAAAACATTAAAGACAGTTCTGTTAGAATTTTATATTTATTTCTTGTTTAAAAATTATTTGAAGTTTATAGTATTCTTTTTCTTTCAGTAAGGCTGAAAGTGTGAGTGAAAAGTGGCTTATTTACTTTCCTTCTTCAACTGCATGGTTGTCTACAATGATGAGAGGACAAATTCTAACTGAGAAGGTCAGTATTATTCCAGGGCAACTTGGAAGTCCCTCAAATCTTTTTTTCTGTTATTACTGATTGTGATTTGTCTGTATTTTACAAACATTCTTAAAACACCCCAGGAAATAAAGCAAAGGGTTAAGTTTGTGAACAAGTCTTCCTACTGAAGATCAATCAAGTAATTTTCTCAAAACACCATATACGTAAGAGATAAAAAAACTAAACTCTCTCATCAGTTCAGTTCAGTTGCTCAGTTGTGTCTGACTCTTTGTGACCCCCTGGACTGCAGCACACCAGGCTTCCCTGTCCATCACCAACCCCAGGAGTTTACCCAAATTCATGTCCATTGAGTTGGTGATGCCATCCAACCATCTCATCCTCTGTCGTCCCCTTCTCCTCCCACCTTCAATCTTTCCCAGCATCAGGGTCTTTTCAAATGAGTCAGTTCTTCTCATGAGGTGGCCAAAGTATTGGAGTTTCAGCTTCAACATCAGTCCTTCCAATGAATATTCAGGACTGACTTCCTTTAGGATGGACTGGTTGGATCTCCTTGTAGTCCAAGGGACTCTCCAGAGTCTTCTCCAACACCACAGTTCAAAATCATCAATTCTTTGGCACAGCTTTCTTTATAGTCCATCTCTCACATCCATACATGACCACTGGAAAAACTCTCTCATACACAGTAACTAATATAATTATATAGAATCAGATATGATACACTGTATCTTACAGTTTTGTGGTAATTAGATAAACATTACTGTGTAAATAACATCTACCTTGAACTAAAGCAAAAAAAAATGTTTAGCTTAGAAAGTTATATAAAAAATAGACTAGAACCTACTTTCTTTGCTAGTTTTGTTTTTATGATGATAATGCAAGAAAATGAAAGAGTGATTTTCCCATCTTAGACTCTGATAAAGTTCACTATCCTCCATGTCACATTTATTAAGGACTACTAACTTGCCAGAAAATCAGTATACAAAGATAACTAAGACGCAGTCCCTGTCTAATAGACAAGTAGAAGAATAGGAATAAGCTGTAAAAAGTTAGATACAATACGACATTCTTTACAAAAAGTTTTATAACTCTAGCAGGGTGGGCAGGGAGGAAGATGGGAATAAAATCAGGCAGGAGTACAAACGGAGTGTTAACTTTATAAGTTTATTTCTTTTTTTTTAAGTTTATTTCTTTAAAAAGGAAAAAGTAAAATCTGAAACAAATATTGCAAAATATTAAGATCTGACAAAGCAGGATGGTAGGATACATAGGTATATTTGTTATATTATCCTTGTTCTTTTCTGGATGCTTGAAATATCTTGTGTGTTTTTTTTTAATTTACTCAAAACAGTTCAAATACTGGCAAGATTTGTGTAGTTTAATTCAGAAGTTTCAGAATATGCTCAAGTTGTGTAATAAACAACACAAAATCAAGAAACAATTTTAGGAATGAATAAGAAAAACCAACTGAATACTGTACATTATTTTTTTTACATCATTTTTAGATGAAGTGTTTACATACCTGTGAGTGCTAAATAGGAAGCAATGTACCGCTTTTCCAGTCCACTTCTAACACTCTGCATCGCACCAAAAATTGGAGGTAAAATCATAATCAGGTTACTCACTGTATTCCCTACAGAAAAAGAAAAGCACAAGAAGATAATGAGATTAATCAATATTAATTTAAATTAAAAGGAGGTGGCTCAGTGCTACAGATTTCACCTGCCAATGCAGAAGACACAGGAGACATGGGTTCGGTCCTTGGGTTGGAAAGATCCTCTGGAGAAGGAAATGGCGAGTCCAGTATTCTTGTCTAGAAAATCCCAGGGACAGAGAAGCCTGGCAGGCTACAGTCCATGAAAGAGATGGACACCACTGAGTGACTGAGCACACACATATGCACTTAAAGATAAGCAATTAGCCTTTAGCAAAAATTAAGTAGGTGACTTCTTAGAAAGATGATGGAAAGATATTTACAAGGTGCTAAAGAAAATTAATTTTCTCCTCAACAAAAATTTCTTACAGAAATTGAAGCAAAATAAAGATAGCTTCAGACAAATGAAACTAAGAATTTTCAACCAGAACATCTACTAGAGGAACTAAATTCTCAAGGTAAAAAGCAAAAGTATCTCAGAATAAACCTCAAAGATAACAGCAAAAATTGAGTTGGAAAAAGCAGCTTATACCAATGCTTCTGAAAGAGCGGTCCAGTTTGCCTTTAAAAAAAAACATTTTACTTGTTTAGATTTCATCATTCATCTTCATGCAGTTTCTTCAAGGATTTATAGGTACTGTATTCCTTGACCTCCTAAGTGCTTGAGAATATTGTCTTTTGCTTTATACTCAAAAGATAACTTAGTTATAAAATTTTGGTGTCTTTTTTTCAAAAGTTTTTAAGTACTATTATACTGTCTTCCAGATTGAATATTACTATGAAAAACTTTAAAGCTAGTCTGAATTTTTTGTACGTGACTTCCTTTTTTGTCTGTACTCCTGATGAATTCTTTCTTTCTACTTGACTGTGTATTTGAGTACAACTGGGCATCCAGATAAGACAGATTTTATACCTACTCTATCTCTATATACAGCTAAGGAAATACAGTATTAAATTAAAGACATTGCTGACTCAAGTTAGACTGACAATCTAACTGCAGCTGTGGTGCTACTGATACAATTTACAATAACCCTCAACACAGGTCATATACCTAGGTACAAATCTAACAAAAGGTGTGCAAGATATAATACTAATAAAACTCCCAGCAGGTTTTCTGCGGACAAATTGATAACCTGATTCTAAACTTTATATGAACATTTAAAAGGCCAAAAAGAGTCAAGACATCTTGTGTACCAACAAAACTAGAATATTTATACAACTAGATATCAAGGCCTATTAAGAAGAAGATAAAGAAGTAGAACAAATACGATTCCAAGAACAAACTAACATTTAGCCACTTGATTTATGACAAACATGACCCTGAATACAGTATGAAAAGGACAGTGTATTCAATAAAGGTAAATGGATCAACTGGATATTTAATTTACATGGGGAAAAAAATGAATCTGGACCCCAACCTCACACTTCTTATACAAAAAATAAATTCCAGATGTACTGCAGATCTAAATGTGAAAGGTAGAACAGTATAATTTTAGAAGAAAACATGGGAGAACATCTTCCTGACCTTGGAGTGGCAAAGAATTTTTCAATAGGACATAAAAACAATTAACCACAAAAGCAAAAGGATTAAACAGAAGCTAAGACTTTAAACCAAGAAGAATAAAAGGTTGCTTTTAAAAACATAATTTAAAGAATAATAGATATGAAATGACTTTGTAAATAAGAGGATAAATACATACTATCTAATTTAAACTTACTGAACAAAAAGAATGTACAGAAACTTATCACAGACTGAAAATTTTGGGTTAAAAATGCTATTAGTCTGGGTCCAATCAGGAGAGACAAGCCACAGTTATTTGAACAGGGATAGTTTACTATAAAGAATCATTAACAATAAGAGGGAATTGTAGTAATGAGAGATTGGCTGTGCTGTACTAAGTCGCTTCAGTCATCTGACTCTTTGCAACTCTATGGAATGTAGCCCACCAGGCTCCTCTGTCCATGGGATTCTCCAGGCAAGAATATTGTAGTGGGTTGCCATGCCCTTCTCCAGGGGATCTTCCTGACCAAGAGATTGAACCTGTGTCTCCTGCATTAGCAAGTGGGTTCTTTACCACTAGTGCCACCTGGGAAGCTCAAAAGATTGGCTCAGTTCAGTTCGGTCACTCAGTCGTGTCCAGCTCTTTGCGACCCCATGGACTGCAGCATGCCAGGCTTCCCTGTCCATCAGCAACTCCCAGAGTGTTCTCAAACTCATGTCCATTGAGTCAGCGATGCCATCCAACCATCTCATCTACTATCGTTCCCTTTTCCTCCTGCCTTCAATCTTTTCCAGCATCAGGGTCTTCCCTAGTGAGTCAGCTCTTTGAATCAGGTGGCCAAAGATTCAGCTTCAGCATCAATCCTTCCAGTGAATATTCAGGACTGATTTTCTTTAGGATTGACTGGTTTGATCCCCTTGCAGTCCAAGGGATGCTTAAGAATCGTCTCCAACACCACAGTTCAAAAGCATCAATTCTTCAACACTCAGCTTTCTTTATGGTCCAACTCTCACATCCGTATATGACTACAGGAAAAACCATAGCTTTGACTAGACGGACCGTGGTCAGCAAAGTAATGTCTCTGCTTTTTAATATGCTGTCTAGGTTGGTCATAGCTTTTCTTCCAAGGAGCAACCATCTTTTAATTTCATGGCTGCACTCATCAACTGCAGTGATTTTGGAGCTCCAAAAAAATAAAGTCTGTCACTGTTTCCACTGTTTACCCATCTATTCGGCACAAAGTGATGGGGCCAGATGCTGTGATCTGTGCTTTTTGAATGTTTAGTTTTAAGTCAGCCTTTTCACTCTCTGCTTTCACTTTCATCAAGAAACTCTTCAGTTCCTCTTCACTTTCTGCCATAAGGGCAGTGTCATCTCCGTATCTGAGGTTATTGATATTTCTCCCGGCAATCTTGATCCCAGCTTGTGCTTCATCCAGCCCAAGATTTTGCATGATGCACTCTACATGTAAGTTAACAGGGTGACAATATACAGCCTTGACATACTCCTTTCCCAGTTTGGAACCAGTTTTTTGTTCCATGTCTGGTTCTGCTGCTTCTTGACCTGCAATACAGGTTTCTCAGGAGGCAGGTAAGGTGGTCTGGTATTCCCATCTCTTGAAGAATTTTTCAGTTTGTTGTGATCCACACAGTCAAAGGCTTTACTGTAGCCAATAAAGCAGAAGTAGATGTTTTTCTGGAACTTTCTTGCTTTTTCAATGATTCAATGGATGTTAGCAATTTGACCTCTGGTTCCTCTGCCTTTTCTAAATCTAGTTTAACCATCTGGAGGTTCTTGGTTAACGTCCTGTTGAAGCCTAGTTTGGAGAACTTTGAGCATTACTTTACTAGCATGTGAGATGAGTACAACTGTGCAGTAGTTTGAGCATTCCTTGGGATTGCCTTTCTTTGGGATTGGAATAAAAATTGACCTTTTCCAGTCCTGTGGCCACTGCTGAGTTTTCCAAATTTGTTGGCGTATTGAGTGCAGCACTTTCACGGCATCATCTTTTAGGATTTGAAATAGCTCAACTGGAATTCCATCACCTCCACTAGCTTTGTTCATAGTGATGCTTCCTAAGGCCCACTTGACTTCACACTCCAGGATGTCTGGCTCTAGGTGAGTGATCACACCATTGTAGTTATCTGGGTCATTAAGATCTTTTTTTGTATAGTTCTTCTGTATATTCTTGCCACCTCTTCTTAATATCTTCTGCTTCTGTTAGGTCCACACCATTTCTGTCCTTTATCATGCCTATCTTTGTTCCCTTGGTATCTCTAATGATCTCGAAGAGATCTCCAGTCTTTCCCATTCTATTGTTTCCCTCTATTTCTTTGCACTGATCACTTAGGAAGGCTTTCTTATCTCTCCTCACTATTGTTCAAATGGATATATCTTTCTTTTTCTCCTTTGTCTTTCATTTCTCTTCTTTCCTCAGCTATTTGTAAGGCCTCCTCAGACAACCATTTTGCCTTTTTGCATATCTTCTTCTTGGGGATGGCTCTGATCACCACCTCCTACACAATGTTAGGAACCTCTATCCATAGTTCTTCAGGCACTTTGTCTTTGAATCTATTTTGTCACTTCTACTGTATAATCGTAAGGGATTTGATTTAGGTCATACCTAAATGGTCTAGTGGTTTTCCCTACTTTCCTCAATTTAAGTCTGAATTTTGCATAGGAACCTGGAATGTTAGGGCCATGAATCAAGGTAAATTGGAAGCTGTCAAACAGAAGATGGCAAGAGTGAATATCAAACACCCTTAGGAACTTGTCCTTAATCTGCTCTCTAGGATGCCAAGGAAAAGTGATCACCTGGAGTGGAAAGCTAATGGCCACTGGTGCTGCTGACTGCAGTAGTGAAGGAGCTGGCAATGGAGAAGCCACGTAAGCTTTAGGATCTGGGCACTGCATGGGACAGAAGCTGGATGAACACTTACACTGCAAGGGTCAGGCACTTAAGAAGCCACCAAGCCAGCGCACCAGAACCAGGAAGGGAAAATCTTCCTCTCGCAGTGTCTCTCCAGCGCCCTCTACTGACACAATTTAACATCTGCCTAGTTGCCAAAGGAAACAAATTTAAAGGGCACAGGTCCATTTTCACAGAGCACGCAATGCATGATGAATTTAGATCTAAGAGATAATATACCGATAACTATTATTGATAACAATTATAAAACTATGTGTTTTTACCAAAACATATGTTTATTATTGCTGGGACAAACTATGCTTGGTGATGGTTCCCCAAGCACCAAAGTAAGAGAGTTTTAAGATAGTAAAGCAATGAATTTTTTTTTCATATTTTCTACAATGTGGTTATCCTGTTTTTATAATTTAAAATTAAGATATCAATAACATAAATAAATGATAGAAAATAAAGGCTAAATTTCTTCTACTAAGAGTTTAATTGAGCTTGAGGTGCTTCCGGAAAATTCAATTAAAACAGGGTTTTTTCCCCCCAGAAATAAAACTAGAGAT